ATCTGGAGCAGTTGGACGACACCAGTCTCTCAGGCTAGGGCGGTGAGAGGTCGTGGTCTAGGTAGAGGCAGGGTCGGCACTACAGTTAGAGCCCCTGCTAGGGCAGCCAGCGTGGAGACGCCGGTAGCTTCGGTGGAGGAGCAGGGTTTCGATATGGGTGAGCCAGTTGAACCATCTCAGATCCTGGAGGGACTTATTGTTAAATAATACTTCAGGATGTTCTTGTTCATTTGGTTGGTGTTGTGGAGGGTCTAGCATAGACCGGAGTACTTCCTGTGGCAACTGCTACTTCTCAAGCCGGGGCAGGGGCACAGACTCCCACCACTCACAGCCCAGAGTAGGTTGTAGCTGGTTATCAGACAACAGGTGTAGTACAGGTCGGGGGACATCCTCATATGGTTACAGTTAGGCTGATAGTGGAGGCCGCTATGTTTGAGGAGGAGTAGAAGAGGTTTGATCGGTTTAGGAAGATGGGTCTTCCACGTTATGATGATGATCCTTCGGCAAATATACATGATTTCGTAGATGGTTGTCAGGAGATTCTACAGAATATTGGTTTGGTGGAGTCCAATTGGGTCGCATTCACCACTTTTCAGCTTCAGGGGCCAGCCAAGAGGTGGTGGCCGTCATATGAGCATAACAGGCTAGCAGTGTCTCTTCCACTCACTTGGAGTCAGTTCTCACATCTCTTCTTAGAGAAGTTCATTCCCCTCACGCACAGGGAAGAGATGTGGGGTCATTTCGAGCACAATCAGCAGGTTCGTATGTCCGTGATCGAGTATGAGATTAGATTCAATGATCTAGTCCATTATGCAGCGTTACTGATTCCCACCGAGGTTGAGAAGTTGAGGAGGTTCGAGGGGTTGAATTTCGGTATCAAGATCGCTATGGACAGGGAAGCAAAGACTGGTACTATTTTTTTTTCCAGGCTGTGGACATAGCATGAAGGATTGAGCGCCATTCAGAGTCAAAGCAGGGAGACCGTGGTGGCAAGGGGAAATAAGCCCATATATTCTGGCAGTTTCAGTAGTACCTTGTCTGGAGGTAGGACCATTCTAGTATAGGCCATCCTAGCAAGCCAACTCCCTCAGTTTATCATCTCGCTCGTTGTGTTCTAGTTCAGTCTTCATTTAGTGTATTACCAGGACCGAGCTCCTACCGTGCTCCTTCAGCTTAGAGTTCTTCTAATGGGTACTCGAATTATCAGAGACAACCTCAGATTCAACAGCCATTCTCAGTTCAAGGTTGTTTTTACAATGGAGAGGTAGGGAATATCAAGAGCGATTTCCCCAGATGTTGTAGAGGTTAAACACAGTAGAGTTCTGATATAGTGACTCTAGTTCTAGCTATTACACCATGTATTGTTTTGGTCTATTGCACAGATGCATCAATTCTATTTGATCCTGTTTCTACTATTCCTATATGTCATCGTACTTTGCATTGTATTTGGGTTTACCTTGTAGTTCTCTTGATGTTTCTATTCATGTATCTACACCTGTGGGTGACTCTATTGTGGTGGATCGTGTGTATCGATTTTGTTTGGTTACTATTGGGGTCTATGAGACCAATTTTGACCTCTTGTTGCTTAGTATGGTGGATTTTGATGTGATCTTAGGTACAGATTGGTTATCTCCATATCATGCTATTGTTGATTGTCTTGCTAAGACTGTGATGTTAGCTATGGTGGGGTTGCCAATCTTGGAATAGAAAGGATCTCTTGGGTGCACTTTTAGTAGGGAGGTTTCATTTCTGCAGGCTCAACGGATGGTTGAGAAGAGGTGTTTAGCCTACTTAGCCTTTATAATAGATGTTAGTGCTGATACTCCTACCATTGAGTGAGTTCCGGTTGTTAGGGAGTTCTCAGATGTATTCCCCGCAGATCTACTGAGGTGCCACCCATAGGTATATTGATTTTGGTATTGACTTGGTGTCGGGCACTTACCTAATATCTCTTCCACCGTATCTCATGACTCCAGCAAAATTGAAGGAATTGAAAGAACAATTGCAAGAGTTGTTGGATAAGGGGTTGATTAGGCCTAGTATATCACCATGGGGTACCGGTGTTGTTTGTGAAAAAGAAGGATGATCCCATGGGGATGTGTATTGACTACAGACAATTGAACAAGGTTACCATCAAGAACAAGTATCCATTGTCTTGCATTGATGAATTATATGACCAACTTCAGGGGTCTGGGGTGTTCTTAAAGATGTATTTGAGATCAGGGCGTCACCAGTTGAATATCAGGGCCTTAGACATTCTCTAAATGACTTTTAGGATTCATTATGGGCATTATGTGTTTTTAGTGATGTCTTTTGGGCTGACTAATGCCTCAGCAGCCTTCATGCATTTGATGAACAATGTGTTTCAGACGTATTTTGATTCTTTTGTCATTGTGTTAATTGATGATATCTTGGTGTATTCCCATAGTGCCGAGGAGCATGAGCTGCATTTGAGGACTGTGCTTCAGATTTTGAGGGAAAAAGGCTGTATGCTAAGTTTTGTAATTGTGAGTTCTGGCTGGACTGTGTGGCATTCATAGGTCTTGTCTTATCTAGTGAAGGAATTAAGGTGGACCCGAAGAAGATTGAGGTAGTTCAGAGTTGGCCCAAACTTTTTACAACTATTAAGATCAAGAGTTTCTTATGAGTGGGTGTGTATTACCGTTGTTTTGTGGAGGGATTTTCATCTATTGCAGCCCCATTGACTCAATTGACTCAGAAGGGCACTTTGTTCAGGTGGTCAAACGAGTTTAAGGAAAGGTTTCACAAGCTTAAAACGACATTTACTATGACTCTAGTTTTGGTTTTTCCTTCAGGATCGGGATCATATACGGTCTATTGTGATGCTTCAACGGCTGGTCTTGGATGTGTATTGATGCAGGACGGTAGGGTGATTGACTATGCATCGCGCTAGCTGAAGCACCATAAGTAGAACTATCTGGTGCATGAATTGGAGTTAGCTGCTATTATAAACACGCTTAAAATTTTGAAGCATTACTTATATGGCATATCTTGCGAGGTATATACGGATCACCGGAGTCTCTAGCATTTGTTTAAATGGAAAGATTTGGATTGAGGAAGCGAAGATGGTTGGAGCTGTTGAAGAACTATGATATCACCATTCTTTATCATCTAGGGGAAGGACAATGTAGTAGCTGACGCCTTGAGTTGAAAGGCAGACAACTTGGGGAGTTTGTCATTTGTTCCAGCTACAGTGAAACCGTTAGCTTCACGCTTTGGCCAATAGGTTTGTGAGGTTGGATCTTTCGGAGTCCAGCAAGGTACTTGCTTGTATTGTTCCCCAGTCGTCTTTGTTTGAGCCCATTAAGGTGTTCCAGTATGATGATCCCATCTTGCTTGTTCTTAAGGACACGGTGCAACGAGGTGGTGCCAAGGAGGTGACTATTAGTGATGATGTGGTATTGAGAATTCAGGGTCAAATCTGTACTCTTAAGGTATATGGTTTGAGGGAGTTGATTCTTGAGGAGACTCACAGTTCGCGACATTCTATACACCCAGGTGCTACAAAGATGTATCATGATTTTAAGCAACATTATTGGTAAAGAAGGATGAAGAAGGACATCGCAGAGCATGTTGCATCGTGTTTGAATTGTCAACTATTCAAGTATGAGCATCAGAGACTAGGTGGTTTGCTTCAAAGGTTAGATATACCAGAATAGAAGTGGGAGACTATTGTTGCACCCTATTTTACACGACTTAAAACAAAATACAACTTATGGTACTCTACAAGGTTAATTGGAGTTTAGGGAAGCTATTTTACACGAGCATTATGTGGACCACGAATGCATATTACATTAGGGAAAGTGCTAGAGAGGTATTAGGGGTCTCGAAGGGTTACTCGGGTGACCTCAAAGGAGACTAATGGTAGAATGGAGAGGTCCAAGGAAAAGTGAAGACCAAGAAAGCGTCGTATCTGAAGCTAGTAGAAAGCGTAGACGAAGATGAGAAGAGGACAAATTGGGAGTGCTATAAGACGGCTAAGAAGGAGGAGAAGTTTGCAGTTACGACGGCTATGACTGTAGCTTATGACCGGTTGAATGAAGAACTTAGGGGCAGAGGCGAGGATAAGAGGTTGTTAAGGCTAGTCATGGTAAGAGAACGGAAGGCTCGCGACTTGGACCAAGTAAAGTGCATTAAAGATAAAAAAAGGTTGAGTTTTGTTTGATGAGGGGCATATCCGTCGAAGGTGGCAAACTTACTTCCATGGTGTCTTGAACGAGGAGGGGGACAAGAACATTGTGCTGGGGGAATTGGAAGCCTCTGAGAGTCATGGTGACTTTAGATATTGTAGACAAATTAGAGTTGAGCAGGTCAAGGGAGCTATGTGTAAGATGAGTAGGGGAAAAGATACAATACCAGATGGAATCGCGGTGGAGTTTTGGAAGAGTGTGGGAAGGGAGGGCTTGGAGTGGCTCACTAGATTATTTAATGTCGTTTTTATGACAAAAAAGATGCCCAATGAATGGAGGTGGAGTACGATGGTTCCTGTGTGCAAGAACAAGGGTGATATCCAAAATTGCAACAACTATCGTGGTATAAATTTGCTTAGCAATACTATGAAAGTCTGGGAGAGGGTGGTGGAGCTGAGGGTGAGAAGGAGTATGTGTATTTCCGAGAACCAATTCGGGTTTATGCCGGGTTCTCGAAAATGGAAGTCATTCACTTTGTTAGGAGATTGATGGAGAAGTATAGGGAGAGGAAGAGGGACTTACATATGGTTTTCAACGACTCAGAAAAGGCCTGCGATAAAGTCCCGAGGGAGGTCCTGTGGAGATGTCTGGAGGCTAGAGGTGTACATGTTGCTTACAGTGGGGCGATTAAGGACATGTGTGAGGGAGCTAAGACCAGGGTAAGGACAATTGGAGGGGACTCAGATCACTTTCCAGTCATGATGGGGTTTCACCAAGGGTCGGCACTTACCCCTTTTTTGTTTGCCCTGACAATGGACGATTGACGCGCCACATCCAAGGAGAGGTGTTATGGCGCATGTTATTTGTGATGACATTTTATTGATTGACGAGACGCGAGGTGGCATTAACGCTAGCTTAGAGATGTGGAGGCAGACCCCGGAGTCAAAAGATTTCAAGTTTAGTAGGACTAAATCGGTATACCTAGAGTGTAAGTTTTGTGGGATGACTAAGGAAGTGGAAGGGGAGGTTAGGCTGGATGCAGAAGTCATCCCTAGGAGAGGAAGTTTTAAGTACCTTGGTTCTATTATACAGGGGGATGGGGAGATCGAAGAAAATATAGCACATCGTATTGTTGCAGGATGGATGATATGGAGACTTGTTTCCCGTGTCTTGTGTGATAAGAAGGTCCCAACAAAACTCAAAAGTAAGTTCTACAGAGCGGTAGTCAGGCCAACTACGTTGTATGGGGCTGAATTTTGGCCAGTCAAGAGCTCCCATGTCTAGAAGATGAGAGTAGCAGAGATGAGAATGTTGAGATGGATGTGCGGGCACACAAGTTTAGGTAGGATTAGGAATGAAGTTATTCGAGACAAGGTGCGTGTGGCCCCAATTGAGGACAAGATGCGGGAAGCGAGGCCTAGATGATTTGGACATGTGAGGAGGCAGAACATAGACACTCCAGTCAGGAGGTGTGAGAAGTTTCCATTGGAAGGCCTAAGGAGAGGTAGAGTTAGGCCGAAGAAGAATTGGGGTGAGGTGATTAGACAAGAGATGGCGCAACTTCAACTAACCGAGGACATGGCCCTTGATAGGAAGGTATGTAGGTCAAAGATTAGGGTAGTAGGGTAGTTGGTTTAGTGTTCTCCCTATCATACCGGAAGTACTAGCACGTACTTTACTATTCTATTGGCATTAGTTTTTATGGCTACCTTTCATTTCTTTCATTGCGGTCTCCTGATTATTTGGTTGTTATTTATGCTGCTTTTACATGGCTTCTCTGAGTTGTGGGTCTATAGGAAACAACCTCTCTATCTCCACAAGGTAGGGGTAAGGCTGCGTACACACTACCCTCCCTAGACCCCACTATGTGAGATTATGCTAGGTTTGTTGTTATAGTTGTAGTCACCGCCTTGTAATTAAGGTACACTAGGATACCTATACACTACAAAAAAACTGGAATTCCCTACGAACGTCATCGCTAATCTGTCGCTAAATCGCCCGTAGCTAGCAGAATTTCTTGATAAGCAACGTATTTTTCTGTTTAGCTACAGAATTTGGCCGTCGGTAAAACCTGATTTTTTAGTAGTGATACTACACTACGTAATGTACCCTTTGATTAGGGTCTATGAAACTATTGAGATTCAAGGTAAGGGTTACAATTATCTCGAGGGGAAAGTATTAGGCACCCCTCAAGATCCACAAAATGTGGTTCTGGTAGACTTGATAAAATAACCGAGGGATTAAGTAAAGAATGATTAATTTGATATGTGCAAAGAATAATAAAAGTATTCGAATAAAGAGTGATTGAACTTGAGGGTCACAAATAATAAATTACATACAAAAGGGTCTGAAATAAGTATATGACTTTTTTTTATGACTTGATAAAAGATAAATAAAATATATTGTAAAGTAGAGTATTAATAAATTAATTGAGTGAATTGTAATTTAAAGAATATACTTGAAAGAATTTAATTTATGTCCAAAGGTAAACTATTTTGAGTGAAAGGCTAAATGCAAGAGGAGAAAAACGTACTCCGATATTATTAGCCAACAAGTGAGAAAAGAATTATCTTTGAATAGTTTTTATGTAATGAATAAGGTATATTCGTGTTGATATAATATTTACAAGAAAATTGTAAGGATTAAATAAATAAATAACAACTAATTATGGAAAGCGAAAAATAAAAATATTTATATTTATGTGCATATGTAGTAAAAAGTAAATGAATAAAATGTATGAAATAACTTACATTTTAAAATTGATGCACAAGATATGGATAATACAATTTGGTATTTTAAAAGAATACGTTATGTAAGAAGTGAATAATGTGTGTATTTTACTAAAGTACAAAATTTAATAAAGGATAGTAAACGATAAATAAGACAAGGATAAAGGATGTACGAACACTATGTCTTGCACTTTTAATTTAATGAATAAAATATGAAGGGATTTTGTATTAAAATGAATGAACAAGTATAAGAAATTGCTAAAACAATAAAAATATAAGAGAATATATAGTGTAACAATGTGCGTTGAATTCTAAACTCAAAGAAGTAATCTAACATTAAACAATTGATTAATTGCATAACATAATCTCTAGTTAACAAATAATTGATACATAAACTAATTATCTGGAATATGGTAATAATATAAAAGTACCTTATTTTCATGGAATTGTATCAAAACTAACCATGTTATTATATAAGCACATATTTATATTTGAAATGAGCTAGCTAATTGTCACGACCAAAACCTATAATAGGTCGTGATGACGCCCAACGTTGTCGTTAGGCAAGCCCACACGTGAACCTCCAGTTTCATTATCCCTTTTAACTTTTTAAAAGCAAAAGTTTCCTTAAAAATACTGAAAAAAGTAAAATCTCATGCAACCTTACATACGTCTTTCTCAAGAATATCAAGTGTGAATAACACATAAACCGCATTGATAGTGATAATAAGTACAACAATACAAAAACGCTACAATTCCCTAAAATTTGGTGCCACAAGTGCATTAGCAATCTAGAGAATATAGAAAACTAATACAACTACCGTCAGAAGTACAATAGAAAGAAACAGTAATCAAGGTAGAGGAAGACTCCGGTGCTGCTGATTGAAGCAAGGCAAGCAGCTCACCACTAAGTCTCTGTGGAAGTGCAGCTACGCGCCTGTGTGACCACTGGAAGTACCTGTCTTAGTACCTACGCATTCAGTGCAGAAGTTTAGTGTGAGTACGTAAAATAACGCGTACCCAGTAAGTATCTAGTTTAACATCGAAGAAGTGGTGATGGGGGGTCTACTTGACACTTACTAGTGGTCAAACAGTAATAAGAAAACATAAAGTAGACATGGAGGATGTATAACAAGTAGCAAAGAAACAGACAAAGCATTAATAATGAATCTCTAACATGCACCTATATCAAATCACTAAAATGTCATAACCGGCCTCGAAGGCTCTAACTCGACTATCATCATAACCAATTCCAATCTCAAGTATTAAGTACAAGCCTGCCGAGGCGAACGGCCTGATTTCATATAAAAATGATACTCAGTACTGCCGAGGCAACTGGCCCGACCCTATGAGAGTAGTGATACACAGTACCGCTGTAACGACCCAACCATTTTTTTGAGTATTTTAACACCGTTTCCCTATTTATTGACTCCTCTATATTTGAATTGGGTTGCGATTTGTAGAATCGATGTTGTTTGGTGTGATTTTAGGGCTCTAGTAGGTTCTTTATGTGTTTTGCAACTTGTTGGTATGTTCGGAGGAGGTCCCGGGGGCCCCGGGTGTGAATCAGATTGAAATCGGGATCAATTTTGGACTTAGAAGATAGCTGAAGAAGCTGAAGTCTTGTGTCAACGCAGCTGCGGTGGGAGTGGCCGTAGGTGCGGACACGCAGGTGAGGGGGAGTCATCAAAAATACGAAATGGGGCTGGGTGAGCTGGGTCCGCAGATGTGGAGATCCTCGCGCAGGTGCGCGACTGCAGATGCGATTTTCCTTCCGTAGAAATGGAGTCTTGCCTGTTGACTTGGAACCGCAGATGCGGTCTTTGTCCGCAGAAGCGGAAGCAAAAATGCACTTGGTGGACCGCATAAGTGTTACACCCCATGTTTTCATACGTAAGAGTACGTCATAAGTTAATTAATGTAAGTTCAAAAATGAAATCATCATTGAATAGTACATAAAGTTAGTTAATCATGTTAACGTAGATGTTACAAATATTTAAGATCATGAATACCAAGTACCAAGAGGGTTTGAAGGCTTAGAAACTAAACGAATTAAAGAAAATAAGTTTCGTCGAAAGCCGACAAGTTGGAATTTTACAATGTCATGCATATGCGTATAAATGTCATACCATGCTTAGGTAAATACGTTCGTAACATCATCAAGACTCTGAGGCCATCCCATCATGTAAACCAACTCTTAGGCCACCCCATATATATTTATTTATATATATATATATATATATATATATATATATATTGTCATCTGGTCATTGGTCAATATACTTGTATAAATGAATGCAATGCGTGGGAAAGTGAGTCAATAAAATCTTTCGGAACGTCATAAGACCATTATGCCTTTGAGTAATATCATGAAGTAAACTTTTTTCAACTTACGTAATTTTTTGAGACCCATGAACAGATGATAAAATAGTAGGACACATGGAGAATCAAGAACATAGGCATCTCTAGTATTTCTATGAATAGAGTCATTTATGGAAATTGTTCATTTGCTCATTTCATTTGTATCGTATGGATCATGCCAAAAAGAAAGAAGGGATAGCCTTAACATACCTGAGCCGATTCTCTTGAGAATCCCTCTAACATACGCTAATTGCGATAAATCACGTAACGGCGGATCGAAGTAAGAAAAATTTCGTATGATATTCTTGAGAAAGATTGTACCGTGCTCCCTTGAAATTTGCAAATTCACGCTACCATTACATAGTAAAATCTTCATATGCATTGTTGAAGTAACTAATGCTAGTATTGCAACACTATCATTACTGAAGCTCTCTCTTTGAATTGTAGAGCTCTCTTTTGTCTTGTGGAACATGAACTACACATATTTAGATCATAACACATAGATTAAGAGCTCTCTTTTGTCTTGTGGAACATGAACTACACATATTTAGATCATAACACATAGAAGGTACCTTTCGAATCACAACCATTTGTATACAAACAAGCGAAAATAATTTCTTTTCCACAACACTTTCGGCCATCAAGGTGACCTTCTCGTCTCACGAAATTTTCCATAGCACTTGATGGAGTAAATCTCTTTATTCCTCATGACAAGTTGATATTAGAGCACAAAACGTTAAATTCTACAACCTTTGTACTCATTAGTCTACTCCGACATCACAAAAAGTTAAATTCTTTTGGGAAACTTTTCGGGGCCTTACATTAGGCTATTAGCCTACGTTTGCAGTTTCAAAGCACTTAGGGAGATAAGGTGCTAATAGATAGATCAATAAGAAGAATAAAATGGTCACGTTTGTAACATGGTTTCTAAAGAAAAGGTTGAAGACTCAAGAGGGTTTGACTAGGGAAAATATGGATGGATAGGAAATTCAAGGCACAAGAATGGTCCAAGGAAGGCCTAACATCATTTTTCAAACCAAGTTAATCTAGGATTTCTCCTTGAAGTACATTTCGGGTAAGTTCTAGATTACTAGTAATGCAAAAGAACTCACAAAACATCTCACCACACATGACACATGCAAACTCGAGTGAATATGTATCCAAAATCCAATTAAAGTAAATGAACTCAAAGAA